GGTACCTGGTACGGGGACTCTTGGTGTGTTTCACCGACAGTGCCAAGTATATATATCATGAATATCATCTGATTGTACTATCATCCAAAACAAATCATGAAACCAAAACAATAGATTGTGATGTGGAAATTGAACCTGTTTTGATTAGATGTTGGAATACCACGGGCCACTAATACCTTATGCTTGTTATCATGGCTCATGACAATAAGGATTGGGTGGGTTCAATGAGGATTGGGTGGGTACGATAAGGATTGGGTGGGTACGATGAGGATTGGATGGGTACAATGAGGATTGGATGGGTAAGATGAGGATTGGGTGGGTACGATGAGGATTGGATGGGTACGATGAGGATTGGGTGGGTACGATGAGGATTGGATGGGTAAGATGAGGATTGGATGGGTAAGATGAGGATTGGATGGGTACGATTAGGAGGATTGGGTGGGTACAAAGAAGAGGATTTGATGGGTACAATTAGGAGGATTGGATGGGTACGTCCAATTAGGAGGATTGGATGGGTACGTCCAATTAGGAGGATTGGATGGGTACGTCCAATTAGGAGGATTGGGTGGGTGAGTCCAATTAGGAGGATTGGATGGGTACAATTAGGAGGATTGGGTGGGTAAGTCCAATTAGGAGGATTGGATGGGTACGTCCAATTAGGAGGATTGGATGGGTACGTCCAATTAGGAGGATTGGGTGGGTACAATGGGAATTTAGTAGGTACAGTGAGCATTGCCTGGTTACAATGAGAGATCTTATATGTAGTATAGTATTCCATTATAGTTGTTTGCATGGCCAGTGCGATTTTTATTAATCTGATGGAGTAGAAATGGAAATGTTAGACTACAAGCCAAAATAACTAACTTATACATAGGACAGGGATACCCAGTCAGCTGACTGCAGTGTTTTGGAAACAGTTAATGCTATTTTGATGTTTAGAGTAGAGATATTCAAAGCAAAGGCTCATTTAGAATGAACAAGAAAGGGCTCAGGAATTCTGTAAAATTTGTAGTAGTTACTTATTAATACTACAAATATGTACACTGTCTGGAGTTCATATAACATTAACAGATGTATTGCAAAGAGGTGGGAGGGGTCCTCCTGCACTGACACAACATTAAAGTCCATCTCCCACGAACATCATGTATTCACCCTTTAATGCTAAATATAATAACAGTGTTCAAAATTACTCATTATCAGTCAGTGGTGCTGTCATGTCCCAGATTTAAGGGTTAAGGGTGTTGAGAGTCCCTAGATTCCAATGCCACAGAACTACCCCCAACCCCCCTCAAAACCAATATCCCTTCAGTTTCAAATCTTGGTGTAAATGCAAGGCAATCATGTGAAGCCGAGTGAGTTGAGACAGTGATGATTGTGCAGTAATCAGAAGGGTTTAGGCCATAAACCTCATGTGAGAGCATCACTCTAGTCAGGTCAAATTACAATACTTACCATGAGAAGGAAATACAAGTATGACAAGCTCATGAGGCATAACAACATGTTTTTTAACTTAGTCAACATGCCCAGAGTTCATGGTTCCTGTTGAAATTTATCCAACATGAAGTGAAAAATCTGAACGCTGAACATGATGTATGCACTAAATTTAAGAGTAGCGACACAATACGGGCATCATACTAACCATGTGAGATACTGTATCGTACATACGCGAGTCCCATCATGTGACTTTAGGGTACTATATCTCCATTCTGTTAATGTTATGACAGTTATCCTTGACCTCCTCTCCTCCAGAGCTTTGTTTTCATTCTGAATTTGAACCATATTCATTCGAAACATTTTCATTCAATTTTAGGCCCAGTGAAAAAGAAAAATCCTTTGCGAAGTTAGTAATAAGAGGGATGAAATTTGTGTCAAATAAGAAATGAAGCCGTGATGTCAAATGGGACCAGGGTGTATATCGTGACAGAATAGAGGTGTGATACGACAGTTGAAATGGTGATACGATGACTGTATCATACCTTGATGAATCATAACTAGATATATTGTCTGGTTGTTGTTGTTAAAGTTATGAGCTGAGGTAACAGGCTAATAACAATAGGTATTGTACTGGCAATGGGGACAGATTAAAGTCACAGTGATATTGAGGATATTTAGGGTAGCTTATCAGCTGGGATTATCTGTTGGACAGATTAACATTTAACATGTGTACACACGCACAAAAACTGTACCCTTACACTAGTTTTAGTTAGGATCTCAGAGTAGTCATGGTAAGTTGAAGTCTTTTAGTGTCATACTCCAATCTGTTTTAATAGATGATTTTAATAGTATTAAAGCTCATGTTTGATTAGAGTGAATATGTATTGTTGTTTCATCCAGTGGGCACAGATATTCCAGCTATGTCATGGTGACATAATGAAGTCAGGATAAATGCTATTTGATATTACGCCTTTGAGGACATTGTGTCCAGTCAGGTGATGTGTTGTAATGTAATATCAGTGGAAGTCATGTCTTCACTTACGCACCCTGAAAGATAATTGAAATATCTACAGTGATAGAAATTCAGTGTTTAACTTGCATGCCATGGCACAGTAAATATTGAAATGGCATGGGTGAAATATGTTTGCAGTGCCCTGGTGGCACACCTAGAATTGTACAAATAATACCCACCATGATTCTTTCAATGGAAAATACAATATATTTGGCCAATTTAACACATCATCAAACTATTTATTGGGGGTACACACAATCTCACATCTTAAAGTGGGCGTGGCCATTTTGAATGACAGTCCGCAGAATAGGAAGTCTTGTCTTGGATGATAACATAGTTTGTGAATTAGTTCATGGGTCCAGGACAAATGAAGCTGAACTATTCTTGCAATCATGATAGTAGTCACAAAATCCAGCTCTTAAGTTTACAGGTTTACGTAAGTGATTTATCAACAATAAATTGAAATGACATATTGATGTTTTAATCAAGTTTGATCGGATCATTAAAGTATGGACACGTTTTTTGTCACAAAGGCACACTTAAATTTTCTGTCTGGTGCCCTATGGCACTCTTAAGAATATTTCATTTCTGTCACTGATCTACTGCGTTGTTGGTGTGGTGATGGTTGTAATGTTGATGATCATGTCCAATATGATGGTACTTTTGGTGTTGATGTTGGTGGTGATGATGGTGTTAATGATTGTGTCCATGTAGATGGCACTGTTGCTATGTTGATGCTTCTGGTGATGTTGATGTGTTGATGATGGTGGTACTTTTGGTGTTGATGTTGGTGGTGATGATGGTGTTAATGATTGTGTCCATGTAGATGGCACTGTTGCTATGTTGCTGCTTCTGGTGCTGCTGTTGATGATTGTGTCGATGATGATGGTAATTTTGATGTTGGGAGGGATGGTGTCATTGATTGTGTCAATAATGTTGATGCTGTTGTCGATGATGATGGTAATGTTGATACGGGTGTTGAGATGGTAATATTGATGATGACAATTGATGTCGATATGGCAGTGTTGATGATAGTATTGATGATGAAATGGTGTTACGGGGGTGATGATGGTAACCAACACCTCAAATGTATCTTTATTTATGGTTGAAACCATATTCGACGTAATTAGGGCCCCTATTAGGAATACGTAGTATGCAGAGCCATAAGTTGACACCTCAACACCTCAAATGTATCTTTATTATGGTTGAAACCATATTCGACGTAATTAGCGCCCCTATTAGGAATACGTAGTATGCAGAGCCATAAGTTGACACCTCAACACCTCAAATGTATCATTATTATGGTTGAAACCATTTCTATTAGAATACGTAGTATGCAGAGCCATAAGTTGACACCTCAACACCTCAAATGTATCTTTATTATGGTTGAAACCATATTCAACGTAATTAGCTCCCCTATTAGGAATACGTAGTATGCAGAGCCATAAGTTGACACCTCAATACCTCAAATGTATCATTATGGTATGGTTGAATACCATATTGACACCTCAACACCTCAAATGTAATTATGGTTGAAACCATATTCGCCCTATTAGGAATACGTGGTATGCAGAGCCATAAGTTGACACCTCAATACCTCAAATGTATCATTATTATGGTTGAAACCATATTCGACGCGTAATTAGCCTCTATTAGGAATACATAGTATGCAGAGCCATAAGTTGACACCTCAATACCTCAAATGTATCATTATTATGGTTGAAACCATATTCGACGTAATTAGGGCCCCTATTAGGAATACGTAGTATGCAGAGCCATAAGTTGACACCTCAAAACCTCAAATGTATCATTATTATGGTTGAAACCATATTCGACGTAATTAGGGCCCCTATTAGGAATACATAGTATGCAGAGCCATAAGTTGACACCTCAACACCTCAAATGTATCATTATTATGGTTGAAACCATATTCGACGTAATTAGGGCCCCTATTAGGAATACGTAGTATGTAGAGCCATAGCAGCATTTACTGGATATTTGATCCTGAATGATAACATCTGTAACATCAGATTTCATGTGGAGGTTCATCAAGATATGACACTGTGTATTTGAGATGAATACTCCACATTTTTGCATCATGTGAAATCCAACTCTCACAATGTGCAAACTTTGTTTCAGTTTAACAGTTGTACTGACCTAAATTAACTGCCATATTTGCCATAAAATATGCCCTGACCTCTTAGAAAACTACCAAAGGGGCACTTTTTAACATTATGAACAAGAAGTTGTCAGATATCATGCAGTAGAGAGCAAAACTAAACCATGTCTGATAATATAGGGGGAAATTTATGTCCCTGTCTTTATTTTAAACCACAATATGTTTGGAGTATCGTCTCTTACTCCTTCATCAGGTGAAACACATGAAATAGAAGTTGACATCCATAACTTTCCCCCTTTATTGCATTATCTGTAGATGACATTAAAGGATATTTTATGTATAATAATAGTTACTAAAGTGTATAATGCTTTTTGTAAAACCAGATAGCAAGATTGTGTTATCAGTAACCATGGTAATGGCCGATATTTGTTGCAGGCTGGAGGAGGAGAAAAGAAGGAACACCTGTACAAGATCCTGGTGATCGGAGAGCTGGGCACTGGCAAGACCAGCATCATCAAACGATATGTTCATCAGTTCTTCTCACAACACTACAGAGCTACAGTATCCTTCAGTAGATGACAAACATGGACATTCTGTGGGGATTTATCTAGATCAGTAGATGTGCTTCCCGTTCAGCCCACATCTACAGGAAATGTCGGTGACAATTCCTGAGTTGGATACAGAATTTAACAGCTGATGTTGTAAAGTGATGGTATGGGTTTATGGAGGTGACTTGTGCTTCACTGACCAATTACAAGAGGCTTCCGTGCTTAGTTTCACATTGTTGCATTGAATGCAGTGTTAAATAGACATGAATGTATGCATTTTAGGAAAATCCCACTTTCCTACAGAATAGGAATTTCATTCCAAAATGTCAGCTAAGGTGGTCGGGGTTCTTGGTTTTACCTTAGATAGATCGTTAGAACAGATCCTGGCATCCCATGCATGGTGTGTAACCTAGCTGATATCAGTACTGGATGAGAGCAATGAAGGACATCCATTGGCCCCTGATAGAGTTGAATTGCCACATTCAGTTCTGAAAAGGCTGACGTGATGTAGCTGGAATAGCTGACACAGGGTATTACTTGATGCGTGATTCCTGCGTATTTGACGCAACAATTTTCTAAAAGACTCTTAAAATATTATCATACGAGTCAAGCTTGACGCAAGTTTTATGAGTGACCCTCAGAATTCAGTTCAATAAAATCGATTAAAAAAACATGTTTGATAAGCAAACAATGATAATTTTCGTTTTCATGCAAACTGCGTTGAAAACGATTGTGTTATTAACAGAAAGTACGGGGAACACCAAGTGGCTGAAAATAGAGCTATGCTGTAATGTGGTAAAGATACCAGCCAATAGCATTTGAGAACGTCACTCACGATACTTAGATAGGCAATAGCAGCTGAGTATGTCATTCAATATATTTAGACTATGTTTTGGTCATTTAAGCATGGCCAGTCCTGCTAAGAAACAAATTTTCTGATGTTTCTAATGATGATGCAAATATACCGAGCACTAAAACCAACTGCAAAACATCAAAATCAATCAAAGCGTATTTCGTGACGATTGGCTATCGCTGAAAACCTGGCTAAGATACCACAGTGTCAATAAAATCATGACATGTGATACGTGCATTCGGGGAAAAAATAAACTGAACCCATTTACATTTCCTTGTCAGAAGTTGACCTGAACGAGACATCAAGATTCTATAGATCACACTGACACAGTAAAATGGATAACAAAATGCAACAGCATTTCAGCGCATCTGTCATCACAGTGTCAAAAGGCAGACGAAGTTCACCATTGTGACCAGACTGATGGTCACATTAAACAAATGCTTACTGTTTATGTCACGGCTTAAAAAATATCCCTGCTGATATGTTTATAGATTTGATGAATCTACAAGTTATCAATGGTGTAGAACACTGCACTAACTTTTACAGAAATGCTCATGTCACTGAGGAAATGGAGGATCGATCTTCCATGTTATGGAAGAACAGCAAATTAAAACCATAAGGAGCAGTCCATACACTGGCTTTATGTTGGCTGAGACCTGTGACATCACCATAGAAAACAATTGCAATTTATGTCATGTATATTGATGGTGAACTCTCTGGGTGAACCTGCTGGTATACAGTATACACTGGGGTTTGTTATTATTGAATTGAACAGTGAAATTTATACTGTTTATTTACTCATCATATAAAAGAGAATATAACACAAAACAACAAAATCTTTGCAAAACTCTTGCTTTTTGATGTACATGAAAAAATCTTACAATATAATTTTCTTGACTCCCAAATATTGACAATGACTCCAAAAAATAAAAACTGTGAGTCACCATGAATCCCATTTTTCAAACCCTGCTGACATCAGCACAAAAAAGAACCTTTGTACAGTAATGTAAAGATATTGCAACCATGCATGACCATTAGGTTGAGTACATTAATATATTTTTCTGTAAACCTCTTGTGTATAAATCTAGAACAGTGTGGTACAGTTTGTAGCCATGTAATCATGTTCTACAGGTCAGTAAACATACTCATCATATACTCAACAGGCGTGACTGGTTGTTTCCCTTTTCCTATTTTAACATCTGTCCTGTTTTTATATGATTATAAAGACTTTAGTTCAAATTTTGTTGGATTAACATACTGGAAATATATATTAGATGTAAAATGTATATAAAATACAGGAAAATATGGTGTACTGGCCTTGTTATATGATGCCAGCGAATGATTTGTCATTAAATTGAGTACATGATACTTTCCTTCCACTAGTAAGAGACAGGAACTGCACACGGAACTGCACATGAATACCACTTGACTGTTGTTGTGCTGTTTGAGATGTTGATGATAATGTCGTTATAATTAGCACATGGTGATTAGATTGGATGTTGGTATGACAAGGAACTGGAAACCAGGGAGATGGATTCAGTTGAAAATGACTATTGTGAAAAATGACACACTACGGTTAATAGCAAGGGGGTTACTGTCATGGTTTTACGACTTGTTTATTACAAGGGGATGGCGGGGTAGCCCAGTGGTTAAACCGTTCACTCATCGAAGACCCAGGTTCGATTCCCCACATGGGTATAATGTGTGAAGCCCATTTCTGGATATTGCTGGAAGATTGCAACAAGAGGCGTAAAAACACACTCACTCACTTTTTATTACAATATATGCGGCATTGTGGTGTAGATGCTGACGTCAAAAAAGCATCACCTGTTTGATGATGGTGTTAGCATTGACATCAAAACGTCACATAGTACTACTCCCCCTTGTTCATCATACCAACTTCTATATGCCACCATGAGAAGTTACCATGGTTACTGCTGTTATTATTTCAGTGATATTGCCTTAACGTTCGTTCAGATTGGTGTAGACTTTGCATTGAAAGTGTTGAACTGGGATGCAGATACGCTGATCCGGCTGCAGTTATGGGATATTGCAGGTATGTGAGTCATTATTTTCCTTCCTCTCCAGCCCTAAATGAAGCAAATCTAGATGTCCTCAGGTTTTTTAATGTCCCATCTCACTGGGGCTATTTTTTAATTTAATTGGAATTATTTGTTTCTATCAAAATGATATATATTCAGAGACTAAGCTTTAGACTGATGTGTTTCCAGTGCGGGGCTTTCACTGAAGGTTAGTCCTGGGAATGAGTCTCAAATGCCCCTCCACACTTGCATCTTTGTCGGGACTGGTACCCTAGATACCCCCTCTAACTTTGGTACCTCCATACTTGACTAGTTCACCTGAATACCCCCTTTGACTTGGTTAGAACTCCTAACCTTTGTACCCCATCCTGACTTGACTAGATCACCTGAATACCCCCTCTAAATTGAACAGCTAACCTGGGTACACCCTACTGACTTGTCTACAACAGCTAACCGTAGTTTCACATCCCCATACTGGACTAGAACAGCTATTTTGGGTGTCCACAAGTAGTTGTGACAGGACTGCTGTCCTTGGTGCCCTGTCACATCAGTTTCACAGTGGTGTGTTAATCTTCCTTTGTTCAATTGTAGACTGATACATTTTGACTGCTATATCTCCATGCCATGTTGTGTATGACAGGCCAGGAGCGGTTCGGCAACATGACCAGGGTGTATTACAAGGAAGCAGTTGGAGCCTTTGTAGTGTTCGATGTGACGCGGACGTCCACATTCGAGGCAGTCACCAAGTGGAAGAATGACCTTGACAGTAAAGTCCAGCTGCCAGATGGATCTCCAGTACCTTGTGTGTTGCTAGCTAACAAAGTAAGTCTTGCTCAGACTCATGTACTGTAACATAATCTTACTCCTCTGAAAGATGAAGATGACGTTGATAATTGATGGTGATGTTTGTTATGCTATAGCATGACCAGGCAAAGGAGTGGCTAGATGATAATGATAGTGATGATGAAAATGATTATGATGACATTGATGATGATGATGATGATTAATGACAACAGTGTTTATGATGTTATGTGAAGAAGTGGATAGATGATGATAATGATGTTTGTGTTGTAGTGTGAAGGTGGGGGCTAGATGATGATGATGATGATGATGATGATGATGATGATGTAGTGTAAAGGAAGGGCTAGATGATGATGGTGATGATGATGATGATGATGATGATTATGATGTTGTTTGTGATGTTGTAGTGTGACCAGGCAAAGGAGGGGCTAGTCAACAACGCGTCTCAGATGGATGACTTCTGTACAGAAAAGGGTTTTATCGGCTGGTATGAAACGTCAGCGAAAGAAAATATCAACATTGATGAGGCAGCTAGGTTTTTAGTAACTAAAGTAAGTAGTACAATACTGGATGCTTGTTTTAGTTCATGGGCAAGGTGGGCTTAGATCTGATTTGGACAGTATTTCACAATATGCTAGCGTCGTGTTTGAAGACTACGACTTGAAGTGAGCACAGGTGCCAAGTAACCAAGGGCCATTATCTGCAGATCATAGATGAGCTCTAGATACTAGCAGAGTTTTGTGTTTAAGCTGCAACAAAATGCTCAGAATGATGAAATTTTACAAACATGACTTTATGTGTTTGACATTTCTTCAGAGATTTGTATGTATTTAGAATAAGTTAAAAGTATTTAGCACCATTGTCTGTCAAACAAACAGGCCCTGAAACAAATATATCCAGTGCAGCCCTTGCAAGTCTATAATATTTGGCAAGTCTAGATTATTACAGTTTCAGAAAATATATTGAGTGGGCTCCTTTCTATTGTATTTTGTTAGCATAATTTAAGAGTGAGTTTAGTTTTATGCCGCATTCAGCAATATGGCATAATTTAAGAAGTTTTTCCCTTGTAATTGTTCCTTTCTGCAGAATAGATTTTGCTCTATAAGCACCAATTCCAAAAGTTGCTGGCTCTCCGGTATAATGGAATTATAACTTTTGTTGCTTACTACCCTAGCGAGGTGTCTTCAATGAAATAAACTTATGTAATCACACCATCACAGAAATGTAATTGCTGACTTGGTAAACCAAATAGTAATTGCGTAAGATAGTTTATTGCATTTGTCCTGTACTTACTGATTTCATGTGCTGGCTTCAGATTTTGAAGAAAGATCAAGAAATGAGGTTAGGAGATGATGACAAAGATCGAGAGAAGATCTCTCTCGATGGACCTAATTCACAAGGCAAGTCTGAGAAGAAAGCAACATGCTGCTGACAGAGACCGGAAGTCATGTGACACGGACCACAAGCCACCCACCATGAGCTGTTGTCATCTTGGTGCTCTGTGAAATGCCATTCCTCGTACAACTTATCATGACACTTCATTCTGTCATCCCACCAGATGAATTGATATCTTGATAAGGTTTTATCCCATCCCTTGTAAGGGTGGACTCCTGTGTTATACCTGACAGTGTTTGTGGCGGTCATCTCATGCCACATTCTGTCATCTGTGGGAATCTATCTTATGTCTTCATAAGTATGCACTGTGATGATGTTCCCGGTAGAGTTATCTACCTTTGGTATATTTGAACATTTGAATCACTGTCATGCTACTCATGCTTTTATCAGACTTAAACATGGATGCTTGATGTAAAACATGTTAAAAACAAATATGCAACTCAATTCTTGATAGTGATAACAAGTTATGTCATTCTATTTAAATATACACTTGAGATGTGATAAGAATCTGATTTGGGAATCATGGAAAGATATCTATAGGCCTATCAAACGTGGAGTGCATAGGATGTTATAAGACAATATGGCATATACCATACATGTTTCCTAAACTGTAGTTACATATTGAGGAGAGTATCAAATCATAGTTAATTCTAGTTCCGCATTCTGTTGGATTGACTTTGTTCCTGGCATTAAGAACATTGTTTGATAACAGAAGACTGGGTTGACATGGATTTCGTCTCCATTATTCCTTCTTTCTTTTGTGTAGCATTTCTGTACAGGAGCTAATATATGTCCCGCAAGTTATATCTGTACAGAGAATGCTGCATTCAAAGACTAAGGAAGTTGATATCCGTTAGCAAGCCCATCTTCAACGATACCACAGCTTCTAAATGCGGCTCACAGACCCTAGTTATTGTTCTGTGTGATTGTTCTGTGCCTAGAACCTAGATTTCACATGTGCAAGTAAAGTTGTAAGTGTCTGTGTTTGAGTAATCATCAGCTGTTGAAGCTCAGGAACCACTGACTATGTTTATACTGAGGTGGGTTTGAGTCAGTGGTATTTTCCAGTTCGAAGTTTAAAGACGGTGATGAGTAAACTGTCGTACATTGTGCTCTTAGGAATAGATGTGCTCTTAGGAATAGAACCGTGACTGCCTGCATGAGAAACTAACACTTCCTGTCAGCCTAATGCCATTTCAGGGTGTGTCATAAGACAACCAGAGAGGGAATGTCTAACAATTTTAGAGTTGCTACAGTTTTAGATATTTTCAATCTCATTAAAATAAGATCTTTGTTCTCACTACTGCTACACAAAGATCTTAGGTCATTCCTCTACAGGTTACATCAGAATGGTTCTTCACAAGCTTTGTCCACTTTACGACACTAATTGTTTTACTCCCATGTTAGAAGTTGTCAATAATGAAGTTTAAAATTTTATGGATATCAGCTTCTTGTTTATTGCATAGAGCAACATTTTTTGTTAATCTGTTATCAAGGTAATATGACAGGGTAAGGAATTCCACCAAGACATTGCACTGTGCAATAAACAAGACAGTGTTATCCATAAAATCATAACTGACAAACTACAACATGGATGAGATGACAAGTAGAAGTCCCATGATTTTGACAGAAATAGATGCACAGACCACAATGGTTGCTCAGAATACCCTGTGTTAATGGTTTGTGATTGTATAATTGGGGAACACATTCCCAGTCAATTCCCAATCAGGGGTGGTGGCGCCAGCCTAGTGGTTAAAGCCTTGGCTCGTCACTCTGAAGACCCGGGTTAGATTCCCCATATGGGTACAATGTGTGAAACCCATTTCTGGTGTGCCCCGCCGTGATATTGCTGGAATATTGCTAAAAGCGGCGTGCACCTAAACTCACATCCTCAATTCCCAATCCTTTTTCATGCAAGGCTCTGATTGGTCAGATGAAAGATTGTTCTGACATATCCTCTAATGGGAATGTCTCAGGTTTTTGGTTAGCAGCTGTGAGAACTAATGCTCATATTTTGATGAGATCGATATTTTAATATTTGGTTTACAATGCTTTTTCAAATGTTCATGCTTATCAAAGAAATGAAATATGAGTAGAACAAAACTTTTTTGGATTCTTCATGTAATATTCATGATATCATGGTTCAACAATTATTAAGTTGAGTGTTCACTTTTAAATCAATATTCTCTTATTGCGTTTATGGTCCATTATGCAATTACTGATGAAAGGAGCAGTTTCTTCAGAATGATTGTCACTGTAACAATGTTTTATCATTTTCATATCAGACTTTTAATTTAACAAGTTATTAGCCTAGTTTGACGAGCTGTCAAACAAGCAATTTGATTATTGATTAATATTTATTTGATATTTGTTAGATATTTGTTAGATATTTGCTGTTTGTACAAGAGATGAGTCCAACAGACAGAACTGCGCGTCTGCTCCACATGACCAGGTTCTGTGTTATGCATGCTGTGTAAATACTTTGTATTTTGTCAAACCAGCCAACGAATACCACGGCTATTTTTATAATATCTCAGTCATACTATGTTACCCTCAACATTTTGCCACACTTACTGTAACCTTTGAAGAGTCTTTATTGAAATATTTTAAGGAATTCTCAATTTTTAAGCTCATATTAACTAACTGTTTATAAGGAAGACTCAGTCTGATGTGTAATTGCTAGCTAAGAGGGATTGCTAGACTGAAATTCAGTGCCAATTTTGTAGTGCCACCATGATACTCTGAATTAAGGTATCCAAGGTCAGGCCAACAACAGGGTTTATCACCTCAGGACCAAATACTTCTTCCAAATCTAAGTCCCTGGCTAAGATAGGAAAATATGCAAACACAGAAAAGGTTTTACCGAAAGTACAGTTAAACACTAATGGCTAACACCAACCAAACATTCTGAAATACATTTGAGTGGACCCATGTGTCTTCTAACTTCACATTTCTAACAAAGCTAACACTCGCGTTCCAGGTGTTTTGAAACATCCACGAGGTGTGATCACTTAAAGTTTATTTCTAAATTTAATCCACTGGGTTAGAACAGTATCTTATCTTCTTTTAATCCCTAGGGCGATGATATGGAGGGGCTAGGATATTGCATTCCTTGTACTGTTTGCAGTCATTCATTGTTAGTGCAATGATGAAAATGTCCACTTAAAATCCTTTGAGCAACACTGATACCATTCTTGGTGTCCCTGCTATGGGTGCATGCTGCTAGTAAGAAGTCAAACAATGCTCACACACAAATGGGATTGGAATTTCATTATCATGTGTGATGGTTCAAATCCACATGCGAACCTTAATGGAGAGTCACGATGACGTTATCATGTATGGATGAAGGTGGACATCAGTTTTAAACTGTGCCCACACTGTTCATCCTTTAGACCCCGAGTTTACCCTGTGTTCTGTGGACTGTATGAAGACATTGGTTATGGTTCCTGGAAGCAAGGATCGGCATTCAATGTATTGACAGGATTGAGTTCCCAGGGGTTAGAAGATTCTAAGAGTGTTTTAGTTTAGTTTTCTTTTTTCTGTGTTTTAACTGGCTGCAGTTCCAGAGCATTTCACTACAAAATGATAGAATCTACAAACAGCGAGACATTTCTCTTATTCCTGGAGATATTTTAAATACAGTATGCTACACTGAGAGATTCCTGAGTATCCTACACACAGTACTTTGAAGAGTATTTTAGTGAAATTGATAGTTTTTTTACGCTGATGTTGAAAACTATGTAGCATTTCTAGCTTATAAGAGGAATATGTGAGCATGAAGCTTTGAAAATGTAACCTGCAGAATGTCATATTATTATTATTTTGTCTTGGAGCAGTTGAGCTGTGTCTTCCTGGTGTGAGTGGCTACAGGGGAACCAAGAATATATTTTTAGCCTAATTGTTCATGTACATATATTTGCTATGACACTGTAAATACACGATTTTCAATCCGATATTCAGCAAAAATGATTCTTGGTATGTAGGCGGAGCTCTGTGAGTGAGTAAGCTGTTTAACCCGGAAAATTAAACTGGGAATGGTACTATCCTTTAAAAAACACCTTTTCACTGTACACATGTTGATGGTGATATCTAATGCTCAAAAGGCTCCTTTTTTCACTGGTATGTTGATTATAAGGATTTGTTGCTTGTGTGTCTACAAATGTTCAGTTCATTCTAACAAGGCAGCCATTCACTACTCTCCTGAAATGAATTTCGTTTTTGACCTGACAGAAGGGATGAAAATCTAATTATTGTGTCCTTCATATAGTTATTTATAAATATGATTGATTTGAAAATTGTAAGACATAATAGTATGTATATGTTGATTATTCCTTGTTCATGATTATTCTGTTTATGCTTTGCAATAACTCAGGTCTTTTGACACTAGTTTGGCTAGATGGTCAGAGACAAGCAGCCAATCAAAAAGCTTGTAACAAAACTACTGTGGTGTAAAGAAATTGTATTATATTAAATGATAGATAGAGAGTATATGTATTGTTTGATAGTTTTTCTAAGTATATATCATCTAATCATACTTGATATAGTTACTGAAATAAATGAGCATAGTTTTCAAGGCTTTGTTTGTTGTTACTGGTCAAGGCAATGGTATATTGTGGACCAATTTGATTTCTTTCTTATTTATACTGGTCCCATTCTCTGTATGTTAACCCTGGTGAATGACCTAAAACAATGCTCCCTCATAACAGTGATAACTGGTAACTAGAGGTGTGACGATACAGAAATTTCACGATACGATATGTATCGCGATATCTTGGAACGATACGATTCCATTCGATGCATATCACGCTATGCTTTCTTTAGTTATTTTTTTTTAATAAATCTTTTTTTAATAGCAAGACATTTTGACATAACTGTCAATATCTAATGAAAATTAACAATTTTAAGGTCAACGATACATATCACAATACGAAAAAACGTATTGATATATTTATTGTCAGATAAAGTATCACGATTATCGATACTACGATATGTCTTATATCGTCACAGCTCTACTGGTAACCAATGGTGTGTCACTGTTGGCACCTACTGGTGCAAACCATTTTTGTTGGGTTGTTGTTTTACACCGCACTCAGCAATATTCCATTTTTTGGCAGTGATCTGTCAATAATTTTGGCCAAGCAAATCCAGCGATCAATTATCAACGTGGATCTACACAGTTAGCATAGGTATAGCTTCAACCCAAGATATGTCCAAGAAAAGAAGTGAGAAACATTAAAAGCCAAGCCCCAGGGACAACAGATCCCCGTTGGGTCCAGGGCAAAGTGCTGTTTTTTGTGTAGGTTTTTTTTTGGGGTGGGGGTGGGGTTTTTATTTTTGTTTTTGTTTCTGTGAGACTCATGGCAAAAACACGTGAGTTAACAGGTTTGCATAAGTGTAAACCCAGTCAGCAAGCCTGACCATCCAATCCTGAGCAAGCCCATGAAATCTCTTGGAGCTATGGAGCAATCCTGTTCAGGAGCTGTTTCTTGTTGGGTCAATGATGTAATGAAACTGATAACATTAATCTGACATTGGTCTCATTAAGGAACAAGCCTACAAAGATGCATGAACATGGACCCAATATCAGGTAAGCTGAAAGTCATTGACAACAGCACAGTTCTTTCAATGTCCTAATGGGCCAGTCAGCATTGAAACTTTTAATCGATTGTAATGTAACAAGTGCTCAAAGCAAATCTCCAAACCAGACATAAAGGTGGAATCTTGAATGCAAAAATGCAGTTATCTGCACCCAACTGCAACATCTGCACCCAAAAGGCACTGTTACCCAGTGTATATATTTGTTCTGTAAGAGTCGATTTCAGAATCTGGGTTGTAAAGACATTAGATTGATGTAAAATGTTCGGTTATTGTTAACTTACAGATCTTTTATGGAGGTTTTGTCAGATCATGTGTCCTTTTAGAATCAAAGATTGTATCTCCTAAATAACTCTGTCGGAGGTATCAATTTGGGGGGACTGGTTGCCTTGCACGCACGCCCTCACGCACGCACGCACGCACACACACACACACACTGGATCCGCCTATGTCAATCCAGATAACTCTGCTTCTTTCATGAGTGAATTTATCAAGATTGACCTTAGTTTGAAGACGGTTCCAGATCAGGTCAGTGCGAAATCAAAATAGACTAGAAACAGTCACCTTTTACAAAGACATATTCCAGAAATTTCGGAATATTCTAAATTCTTGCAGCACGAATAACACCTCATATGGGTTTAACCTATATTACTGGAAATATATTTGGAAGATTTTCTATTTATTTGAAAGAAGTACATATTATGATAATACGACAGAGGTTTCTCAAGTCTGGAATTGCGATTGCATTATCAGATTAACGGTGCCATGCAAATCACTACTCATCTCTGCCTGTACTGTACGACCATTTTGCTGTAGACTGCCGCACAGGTAAGACCACTGGGCATGAGCAGCTCAGTGCGAATAGTTAATATATGTGTACCTTTTCTCAAATTGAAGTTGTTGTTTTTCAAATGTTAGATAGACGTTTTCATAGAGTTTAATTATTGACTTGATATTTACAATTAACAATTTTTGATTTGGACTATTTTCGTCTTTGTTGTAAAGTCCTATGTTTAGGATCTTGTCAGACTTGTCCCATGTGGGTTTAAAAATGAAAAGTCACGTCTCGACTGGTGCTGATGAACAAATATCGGTAATTCTTAAACAGGAATGAACACTGTGTATGCTTAAAGGACAACTTCATTGTCATGTGGGACTCCAGAAATGAATTTAATAAAACGTAATTCGTTAAAATATAAATAAAATAAAAGTGCTAAACGGTAGTATGTTTGAAAAGTATAGCTTCTCAAAACAGTTTTATCAAGACTGCTAAATGAAGATAACGCCATGAAGTCGATCTGATACTCTTCGAACGTTTTCTGAACTTTGAACTTTTATCAGCAAAGTTTGCGTACTGGCTGTTACTTTTCGATTTCCAAACAGAAAAACGGTTAACTCAGAAATCTAAACGCAGAAGAAATTGGGTGTGGGGTGTGGGTGTGGGTGGGGTGGTGTCGAACCTGAGTCTGAACCTAGGAAATCCTATGTGATCGGATCAAAGTGAGCTCTCGAGAAATTGGACTTTAATCACATGAACACGTATTCCACACGTATCGAATGTTAGGTAAGTTTGCCTTGAGGTGACCAAGATTTTCATCCCGAGATAAGGCTTGATCATTACATGTTCCTGTTCGACAGACTTCTTTTTCGAAGTTTATTTCACCCAGCATTTATAAATACAACATTGTAGAGTGTTTTTCCCCCAGAAAGTTATATATAGCAGTCTCAAAGACAAAGAGTCAAGGGCAACATGATTGGAAATGTTTCTTCCCTTGTATCAAACTTTGGGACACGTGCGACAAATAATTGGTTATTTTAACAGTATAGTATATGTATATTGTAAATGTAGTTATCAAGTAATATGTGTATCCGAAAATATGCAGGCGATGTTACAATCAAGTACTATCTGTTTCTATGACTGTGGTTATCAGCATGAGAATATATAGCGGATACTATGAAGAATATTTATCTTTTTTTTGTCATATAACATCTAATCTCGTGACCTGAGAAGGTCATATACATTCACGTTCCGATAGAAAGACGAAGTTTTCTTGGTTATATTGTAGCGGTAAAAGTAGCGTGCTATAAATACTTAAAAATTGGCTGGGTTATAGCAAGATATTAAATTTCACATAAGACAGCATTTCGTGAACTTCATTAAAGACTTGGGTCAGACTGACGTTAAAAGACAGCATAAATTAAGAACTGCTTCGTTAGTCAATAAAATGCCTTCCAATGCTTTTATTTACTGTATATATTCACTCGCAGATGTATCACTCTATATACACTGACGTACAAAAGAAACTACACACCTAGTGTTTTGGAATTATTTTCCCAAACACGATGTAAATGTATTAAAAAGTGTTTTGATTGTCACTTATAAATTACAAACAAAGTGTCCGTGTTGACAAGTGCATCCTTGTACCCCGATATTGTTTTCAATGAAAGTCATCAATGGAAGACACAGATCCAGACCAACATGGCTTCCATCTTATAATGCGTACATGTATAAACTGTCTCGGGAATACCATGCCCCAATACTATATAACATTGCTGACAAGAGTTGGGACATCGAGAAGGACAAACACATACACGTTGGTTCATGTTCAGATGAACCAATCCCATTCAAATCTGGGCCCACCGGTATCAGACTGCTATTGGATGGATCTTTGAAGCTGCTCGCGTGTTACCGACATGTTTCTTGATTACCTTGCAGAATCAATGTTACCTAGACTCCACGTTGTTGTTGCCCTGCTGTCCCTCCTTGGGGTATGCTGCGGCAGGTACGTCATCCGTCCCCTAGGTTACCTGAAGCTTCCTAACAACGTCGCCCCAACAGACACATACAAGATCCTGTCGGGTTCGGCAGAGGAGGCGGCGTACGACCCCGACGACCAACTCATCTACGTCGTAGGTACGGTCATCCATAAGACAATAATTTTCTTCTTTCATCATAGGAACTAATGCAATTTGACTTTTCTTCCATCGTTTCATCATTACATATATTTATGGTTCAACGACGCACCATGTTATATTCCTGCCATTACGTTCGCGAGCCGTGAATGTGCTCATTCCACTGTCAACACCTTGAAATGACCCAGGCTTGCTAAGAAGTTTCACAGACACCACTAAAATCCACTCTACCCCCACCATCACTCCTTAATTTGGATAGGTCTGTCTACATCATATACCTCGACCATATCAATAATAATGGCTATTTATATGTGAGTTTAGTTTTACGCCGCTTTTAGCAATATTCCCGCAATATCACGACGGGGACACCAGAAATGGGCCGCACACTATGTACCCATGTGGGGAATCGAACCCGGGTCTTCGGCGTGACGAGCGAACGCTTTAACCACTAGGCTACCCCACCGACCCGGCTATTTAAAAAGCGCCTGTTTCCACGCATTTGTGCACTTCACCACAGTTTAAACGTCAACATTCTTACCTCCCATCAAAAGCTAACACGGCATGGTATACTCTATTTCCTTGATTAAACGCAAGCATAGTAATGGTGAGAATTCCGAGCATAAAAACTACCCGGCGTGTAATCGGGGTCCAAAGCTTAATCTGCCTTCTGTCGTTTGACCGAGGGAATATAGTAACTGAAAGACATATGTTTGTTTCAGGCGATGGATCTCGACTTCTCCACGTGGTGGATGTCTCAAATCCACTGATGCCAAAGCGTCTCTTCACCCACGAATTCAGCACTGCTGATGGCGTACCGCGAGACGTGGAGGTCTGCGACGGCGAGGTGGTTGTTGCTGTGTCCTCCGAAGTACCCGTATTTCCGGGTCACGTGTTCTTTTTCAAGACCTATAAACGAGGCTCTGATAAGATGGACTTTGACGGCAAAGTTACCGGTACATTGCTTCAAACCCATACTGAAAATCTTGGAAATTGTTAGATTAAGCGTTAATGTTGTTTATGGATTAGGCACTAGTTTAGGTCAATTTGTTCCGTTTAAAGGGGGAGAAGACATGTCTCTTGACAGTCAAGGCACTTCTTATCCAATTCAATCAAAACCAACGTTATCTAACGTTGTATGAATTCATTCTGTGTAGTTTCAAGGTTTTTACCCTAATAATGAAGTGACAATGTTTCAGCTTGCCCTAAGTCACTAATACGTGTCTACTCCTCTATAAACACATCGACATTAGATGCCATGGAACTGATACATTCAGGAACGACAATCAGTGAAACAGTGCCAGGGCAACGTGTGGTAAAACATGTATTAATTGTCCTATCGAATGAGTACTAGAAATGTCATGTGAAACTCATCATGCACACTCTCCCGGACAGTGGGGAATTTCCGGATAACCTGAAGTTCGCGCCTGACTGCAAGAGCCTGGTTGTAGTGAACGAGGGGACGTCAGGGGTAGACTACGCTGGGAGGTACCTCGACCCCGAGGGCACGCTCACTATCATCACCAAGTCGTCAACAGGCAACCCCTCGGAGAGATTCGTCGACTTCAACAAGTTCAACGACAGGTACAACGTCATCACCAAAATATGCGCAAAATTCCTGCTTTGAACAGAAAAACGTCCTCCATGTCTAGATTATTAATATGCCATCCATGGACGCAATACTATAAATAGTATTTCAGGTTTTCCAACGATGCATTACGGCCAACTTGTCGTTGATTGATAATTAAAATCAGATCTGTATGCTCTCCCGATGACTTGCGTTAGCAAGCACTGACATCCAATGTTAATGAGTTCGGCTAAAGTTCAAAATGTTTCCTGTGTTTCAACAACGTAAATTGCTTTCAGACATGAGATTCGGAGTGTGGCGAAGTCCATCCCATCGACGATCCTGTCCGCCCACAGCACAGTCGCACAGTCGTTAGAGCCAGAGTACGTGACAGTCCCTACTACCTCAACTGCCTTTGTCACGTTCCAGGTGAGTATCTCTGGGACACAAGGTCCACTCAGCATAGATGCCTGCCTTGCGCTGACTTGGTGTTTGAATCCCAGAATCGCCCAGATTATGTTCCTTGGTTTGCCTGTACCATGCGCGAACATTCAGGGTTCACCAACGTGGTATACCTGCGTTACCTCTGGCTTTGTCCTCTCAATAGGTGACGCCGTCACGAAGCTGAACAAGCGCCAGCAAGGATCACAGTCGGTCATCAGTATTCTGTTATTAGAGGGGTCAGGGGCGGTGGAGTAGCCTGGTGGTTAAACCGTTCGCTTGTCCTAGTCCGAAGACCCGTGTTCGATTCCCCCGAATGCGTGAAGCCCATTTCTGATGTCCCCTGATGTCGCTGGAATATTGCTAAAAGCCGCGTAAAACTATACTCACTCAATCAGTCAGATAACCAATCAATCTCCAAATCATCTGGTCAGGCAGTGTGTTCGTAGGCCTCGTAACGCGGAATCTCCACCGAGTGTGTAGAGCTGGCCCACGATGATTGACCCAGTAAACACAGTGGAGACCCCGGTAGCTTGCCAATACCGGTATTACCAAAGCGGTGTAAAACTAAACTCACTCACTATTAGAGGAATCGGGTGCTCGGTGTCAGAAACTTGGCTGACGGTGTGTCGTCTTACCCGGAGGGCGTAGGGCAAGTTCCAGTATTCCATTTGCATTAAATCAATACATATTACTCCCTAGGTTACCCTTCCCACCAACCTGAAGAATCTGTGTTAAGACTTGGTGATCTGCAATGTCATACTCAAGTGTCTATTGAGTGATGCTTTAAAGCTGACAGCGTTAACTTTATCCCCAGGAGAACAGCCTTATCGCCCAGATCAACCTGAGAGATGCGACTGTGCCTGTTCTGTTTTCCATGCCCCACAAAGACTACGGTGACATAGGGGTAGATGCGAGTGACAGGGATGGAGGTACGATTGTATGGAACAAAGGCGCACTCATTTTCGTAGACAGACGTTCAAGTGTTGCGTCCCTTCGCGGTGTCAGGATCCCAGAGTTGCAGTATTCATGCTAGGTTACCCCGAATATGATCCCTGATCTGTCAATACCAGGGGTAAAAGTCTTTAAACTTGCATTTGAAACTAAACAGATAAAGAGCTGATGGTCACATCGTCGATCTGCCACACTTGGTTGTGCAGAAGTACCTCCATTATAACCCTGGGTCCCAATTGCAGATTCCCACTGACCTTTTTTATCCTAGATTTGTCAGCACAATGTTTGTGTTTCTAACGTAAGAAATGTTTACTACCTCCGATACATGGGTCATTCACCCTGTGACATTGGTAAAATACTGTAAAATCATGTTAAAAATTCCTGTGCCAGGAATCCACATGCTGAAGTACCCTTTGCGAGGCCTCCGTCAGCCCGACGTCATCAAGAGCCTTGTGTACAACCGAAGGACCTACCTGTTTGTGGTGGACGAGGGTACCATGTCTTCCTATACCACGGCTTCCCACAGCTTCAAGTGGAGTGAAGGAGAGAGGGCAAGGGTGGTCAGTTATCGTAAGTCATCTGGACTAGTGACTTACGTTTGAGTTACGCAACTGGGATACGATGTCATGCAATCATTCAAGTCTATATACAGACTTTAGCAGTCTATTATGACAAACACGGGTTGCTGGGTGTCTCCGTTCTTAGCGGGAGTCCGAAACGGCATTCAGGCCATCTAATTGGGTATCATGGAGATTTACAGTAGGCCTACATCAGATTCCTACTTGATACCCTTGCAGGAGTTACGTCATCAGCTGGGTGGACGTGGGTAATGGTGACCAATATTTAAACAATCGCTGAGTTAAATTTGTCTTTAGCATAACGGGTCATATAGAAGGCAGTAAGTTACACTACTTTATGTCCGTTAATATAAAATAACACCAAATATGAAAAAAAAAAAGTTTTAAATATTTATTTTGTAGACCCTTTGGGGATATTTTGCAGATTCTCTGTTGTAAAATGAGAAAACCAATTGCTCTGCCCAACTAGTCCAGAAAACTATGTTTGGCATGGAACCCTTAATTCGACAAAGACTGTTTAAGAGAACCACCCTCGTCAGATTTATTTTTGCATTAAACCTGGGCCCCGTTCCTCAAAGCGATCGTAGCGCTAAGGTGATCGTAACTCCCATACTTTAACATAGATTTACGACTGTCGTAGCGCTACGATCGCTTTGAGGAACGGGGCCCTGGACTGTTTAGTTTATATAACTGTTTATGATACATGGAGATAACGGGTTGTCAAGAGCTGTTTATCTTTAGCTATGACTGAGCTGTTATCTTGAATTCTGGAAAAACCGTTTGGACAAACTGGTTCATGGTAGTAAGTAATCTTTGAAATTGTGATAAATGCATTAACTGTTGCTAGAGATGTGCCGATGGACGTTCATGTCAAGGTGTAACAAGAGTTGAATGTTAGCTGATTTCATGACGTTGATAATATTCTCAGATATTTCTCTACAGAGAAAGGATACGACACGAGCGCCATCACTAACGCTTCATTCCTTGCCGACCTCAACGACGACAGCAAACTCGGTAAGGATGACCTTCGGGATATGTTGTCTGAATGCAGCAGCTACTGAACAGCAGTGCCCACCCTGGCTTTATAAACTAATGTAGTAATTGCAGCGAAAGTGTTGGAAATGATCAGCAGTTCGCATCAACCCAAGGTTATTGATATCAACTACACTCAGATTAATCCTACTGATGCCTTAAAATCAAACTTCATTTGACAGAAAATAGATGCATATATAACGTTTATCTTACCTCATACATAAATGTCGTTTTCCTATTGGCCGAGCTGGTACCCCACCACCCCCCACCCCCTCCCAATCCAAAAAAACATACATCCCCAAACAAGCGAGTAACATCTTCTATGTTGCCCGCTGGAAATGCCGAACTGTGGGAATTCGTTTGGTACTTCGTGTCAGTAGTGTTTAGGCTGTTGACCCAACACCCGTGCTTCAAACAGTTCAAAATTGACATTGAGGTGTTCGGTAAGATACATACGTTGTTCACTGGTGCCTCGGGGCCCATGGGTTGATGTACCCCTTTGATCTCAGGGAACATAAACAAACATAGAGGGTACATCAACCTGTGGCCCCCTCGTGACCAGTGAACGACTTATAATACCCACTGGCCATTGGTTTGAAGGCAGACAATACCTCGGGGAGCGGGTCCCCTGGCCGCGTTGTATAACAACAGATGTGAAGGGTGGCACTTGTTGTTGCCCTGCCTGGCGTACGTCATTAAAGGCATGGCATTCACTGGTCGGCTCAAAATCTGTATACTGTGTTGATGTTGGTTGTCCTTGGTGAGCTGCCGTATGGTATGTTAGTGGGCCTTCACTATAAACCCGACATTGACCCTGACTAGTACAAGCATACATACATATATACAAATACTTGTATCGCGCCAATATCCGTAAACCTCTCAAAGGCGCTTTGGCTCTAAGCTGGTATTGATATCACATAGAGTTCAACCACAAACAAACCGTTTGCAGGGCGTCTGTACGTGAGCCGGATCGACGGGTTGAACCCGTTCACCAGTAAGATAGAGGATGTGTACACGTACGGAGGGCGTGGCTTCTCCATATGGGACGCTTCCTCCATGGCGATGCTATACGACAGCGGGGACGAGCTGGAACGTCGTGCCAGGGACTCCTACTACAACGTTTTCAACACCGAAGGTGTCCAGCCTACGGTATACTCCCCTGAAACCCTAAAGGACAGCGTCTCCGACGACATGGTGAGCAATCGACGTCGACATTCCATTCTCAGTTGTAAACGTTCGGTAACAGACAAGCAGATGTTTGTCGTAAGGAGTGACTAAACCGGGTATTGGGTGGTCTCAATGGCTTCACTGTGTGATCCTTGTTTGAGTCTACATCTAACAGTGTCGACCAACGGTCTGCTACAACATATCATATTTGGGATTATACTTTCTTGGTCAATAGTGTGGGACTCACCCCTAGATACTACAATTTGTACTCTACCAGGAAGGTGTGATGATTTGACCTCTCTCTGGTCCAGATACGATTTGTTTACAAACAATATCGTGCAGCTGTAATACTGCTGAAACAAATATATACAAGTACTTAAGATATAGTCACAATTGTACAATGGATGTATGTGCAATCTTATGTATGGGTTAAGAGTTTCGTCGCTTCTATCTCTGAAATGCATTGTCTATTGAAAACTGTCGGTATTGGGAGCGAGGTACACAAAATGCGTGATCTTGCCAACCATTTGCCTCGGTGGCTGAGTGGGTTAGAGTGCTGGTGATTAGATGCCTGACTCTGAGGGTGTCGGTTCGAATCCCAAATGGGACTCAATACAGCACTATAAGAAGTTCTTTACTGAGACGTGCAATCCCAAATAAGACATTTAATAATTTTGACCAATTTCTAAAAGACATTGTGTATTTATCTAAATCGTCGCAACTTATTTGGAGTGTAGTTTCTGCTCACATTATCGACCACTGGTTTGAGTAGTCCTCCTTTGAGAATTCATTCAGAAAATGTTTAAGTTACTGTTATCAGTTGGCTTCTAATACACATATTGTTATGGTTATGAAGGGTATTGTGGCTTGTATATATATTTATCATCTCCTCTGCAATATTACCCGACACTACAGGGCCCCAAACCGAATGCAATGGACGTGATCAGAGACAATAACGAGAACCTCATCGTTGTCGGCAGTGAAACAACCGGCATTATCTACCTCTACAACGCCACCCTCAACTCTAAGGCCTCTGTCGACTTCCAGGACGTGTACAGGCGTGGCAAAACAGACTCGCTGTGGTCTCAACTGTATGATGACGACAGCGTCGGAGATATGTCCATCTCTGACATCGGGTAGGTGCAGTGACGTCAGTGACGTCGCATGGTAAAGAGACGCCATCAGTGACATAAAGCGAAGTCATGGTTGACATAAATATAATATAGAGCGATTACATCAGAAATATTGAGAAAGTACAGCAACATCAGAGACGTCGCATGGTAGAGAGACGTCATGTTTGACATAGAGTTGATACATGGCGATTACATCAGAAATATTGAGAAAGTACAGCAACATCAGAGACGTCGCATGGTAGAGAGACGTCATGTTTGACATAGAGTTGATACATGGCGATTACATCAGAAACATTGGGTAGGTACAGCAACATCAGTGACGTCGAATGTTAGAGAGACGTCATCTGTGACACAGTAAATATAGCGACGTCATCAGTGCCATCTGGTAGTTACAGCAATGTCATCAGTGACATTGACGTCGGGATCAGCACATCCTCGCTGGCAATTGATCATCAGGAACTACTTTTTAAGACATTGGTCTGCTTGGGTCGTCCGTTACAGTAAAGACGTTGGAACTACATTTTCAAAAAGATGTTGGATATAATTATTGGTTGAATATTTTAAGGAACAAAACTTAAAAACGGTTTCCAAGTACACGTAAGATGAAATTAAACCAAACGGTAACCTACAAACAATGTTCATCAGTGTGGATATTTTAGCGAGGACCTGTTAACTGTCAAATGACAAATAATCACCATTTCCTGCATTTACAGCCGAGTCTTTTTGAGTTACGGAAAGGGGCGAGGTTGGCCGATTGATAGGGATGGTTGAGTAACGTCATCAGTGAGTTCTGCAAGGTTGAGGGCCGTTTGCGTATATACGCCAAACTTAAATGATTTACGAACGCTTCGATTACATCTCAGCCCCCAGCGACTGTGTTAAGTGACCTGTTTCTGTTTAAAGAAGCAATGCCTGTCACTTGTACGTTTCAGGTTTATCTCAGCCAGCCAGAGTCCGACCAACAGAACAATGTTCTACGTGTTGGGGGCGGGCAGCGGCTCCGTGTCTCTGTATGAAGTGGAGGACCTGGGACCCGATCTACCCGTATTGCCTTAGTCTCAACACGGGGATACTTGTAACCATAAACTTCTACACATATTGGTTTATAGAAATATATCACAATATATTGTTTGCAGTGGGCAATGTTTTTATGTTTAAGCATACAAATCATTTTGTTATAGCAACAATCCTCTGGGAACCGAAGGAGATAGATACAATGCCGCTTTTAACAATATTTCTGGAATTGTGAGTAAGTTAGGTTCAAAGCTGTTTTGAACACTTTTCCAGTTACGCCACATAAAATAAATTTCTTGTTTCTCATCACTTTGAAAAAATGGGTAGGTATGGCGGATTTTATTTTTATTTTTTAATGTTTTTTCTGATTGTCTACACAATGTTAGTGGAAAACTTGGGATGCCGGAAGCTGAGACTTATTTCGGAAGTCTGCCAGCTTTATACACGCAAATTTACCAGTGCAATTTTTTTTAAATTTCGGATCGGGCCAAATTTTAGGGTTGGCCGGTAATGAGAAACAAAAAAATATTTTTATGTGGCCTTACCGGTATATTACGGCGTGCCTGACTAATATGGGAGGAAAGCCAGAGGTGATACAGGACTCAGACAGTTACCATGTTTGACAAAGCCACGACAACACCATCAGGTCGAACAGTGATTCCAACCAAAGATCATGTCTCCGGCAAGCTCAAGAAGGAGCGGGCGGTGGGGTAACCTAGTGGTTAAAGCGTTGGCTCGTCACGCCGAAGACCCGGGTTCGAATCCCCACATGGGTACAATGTGTGAAGCCCATTTCTGGTGTCCCCGCCGTGATGTTGCTGGAATATTGCTAAAAGCGGCGTAAAACCAAACTCAGTCAGTCAGTCAAGAAGGAGCAACTCTAGATATGTACATTGAATTGGGACCCAATTTTACTTGCATCACGCCCTGGCAGCTTCACGTTAAATAGTCGGAAGTGATGTCATTGACATTTACCATAGACTAACGCTTAGTCTGAAAATATATAGTTTTGTTAGAAACAAGAAGCAAAACAAACCCACCTCCATTTAAATTGAAAAGGAGTCCCATTGAGGTGGGTGATTCAGAACCTGAAGAAAATCCATTACTGCTTCATTTAGAACTTTTGCATTACAGAAAGGGTTGAGTGGAAGGGAAAATAATTTTGTTCAGGTACATACTAATATTTACAACTATACTGCAACTCTATATCAGTGACATTGTGCTGACAATGCAGAAATAATAAACAAGGTGAAGTGTGGATTCGAACCCATGACAGTCCTCACTGATACTTCTCTGTATCTCTCCAACCGCCTCCATGATGGAGTGGTTAGAGCGTCCGCCCAAAGAGCGGAAGGTCGTGGGTTCGATCCTCGGCCGCGTCAAACCAAAACACGTTAAAATATGGTACTTGTTGGTCCCTGTCTGGCGCTCGGCATTAATGGATACAAGGACTGGTTGGCTCGGAGTCAGTATAATGTGTCTGAGTGGGGCATTTATGCTTAACTGAGGTATGGTATCTCAGTGATTTAGCACTATAAACCAGCTTAAGTCTGGGCTAGTACAAGCAGCCACACATACACAAACGTCGTCATATGAGGGAAATATTCTCAAGTGAGACGTTAAACCCCATTTCACCTCACCTCAAACATCGAATTAAAGGCTCAAAAGAAGACTTGTCTGCCAATGCCCCATCCTCAGAGGCCCATCCACACCTTGTACATCCCCAATTCCTATTGTAACTCATTTTGTATATTGAAGGGTCCTATTCTGTCCCAGGTTCCCCACGTCATCAATAGAGAATACTACACGAGGTCTCATTACATACGAATTATACGAAACGAGTGTCCTTCCTATGGTATCTGACCGAGCGAAAGCGAGGTCAGATAACATAGGAAGGTCACGAGTTTCGTATAATTCGTATGTAATGAGACCGAGTGTGGTATTTTATTTATTACCCACGTCTTACATGCATTTAAATTGACAAAATAGCGTATTTTTGTTATGTTTTTGGTTTCAAACCGAAACCGGTTTCATAAAGAGGTTGCGGAAGAGTTTTGTACTGTAGTACAATATTTGACGTCACACTAATGACGTGCCATGGTAACCGACGTCACGATGCATGTCAGTTGTCATCGCCTCGTACAGCCTCCTACAGTAAACTACTCCGTTGCACCTCGTTTCTTGGTTTCCAGTTGCTTCATTCGGCTAACATCACTGATGGAAACATTGCGTTTACGTTTTTCGACGGATATAATGTCTCAGTTCGACTCACAATTGAATTAAACAGCGACACGGCAACGTTCGCGATGTTTACATTCCCACAATGCATTTAAGTTTTAGAATGAATGAATTCACGTGTTTGTTATGAATGAAAAAAATAGTTACGTCAGAATGTGACCTAATTGAGAGGTCATCGGTTATCTAATCAAATCGTTAGAATCTCAGGTCAAGTCGTTACGACACAGGTCAACGCGATAGGACACTCGTGTGACGTACAAGATTAGTATGCAACTACCCATACGTTGACCACGTGCGTACTAAAAAACATTTAATAAACAGGTTCCTTATCACTGCCCAGTACCGTTTTAGACTATGTATGGTACCTGAAACACAAGTATCATAATGCCTCATTGGCTCAAAGAGTTGTGAAGATGCCCAGTAGGGACTCATCCAGAATGTATACAGGGTATGCCATGTTGCATCCAATACTTTCATGCTTGTCATTTATGGCTTCCCCATTGTTAGGACAGACCAATTATATTTCTTGTTTTACGGATTTCTGTCCTCAAAAAACCTAGAGGCAGGAGGGAAAAAAAATATCACCAAAGCAAAAACCCACATGAGTTTCCATGTTAACTCTTTTGGTTTGTTTTTATCAACTAAAAATAAATTGAGTGAGTTCAGGTTTCACACTAATTTCAAGAGTATTTCACTTATATCACATTCACATTAGGATTTTATTTTTTGAGTGGGGAAAATTATCCGGTGGATCTGTAAAACAAAAAATAAAATTGGTCTGGCCTTATCACTACTTGCATGTAACTTATACCCAATGACACAACAACAAACACATTCAGTTATAAATGACCAGTATTTTATTACTGGGATAACAAGGATAACATAACAAGGGGTGCAGCAGCACTCATATCACATGTTTCATCCACCTACACTGGCCAATAGGTTCAGTGTTGTCTGGGTGATACTTTGGCAACATAGGAATACATCACATAGCATATTACACAGTATATTGCACTGATTATGTTGAGATTGGCCAGCCCCCTTGGTGCCTACACCCCAGCTACAAGGTAAACATATATCGTGATGCACTGTGGAATGGGAAACAGATTGATACACTGTGGTATGGGAAACAGATTGATACACTGTGGTATGGGAAACACATTACCTTAGAGATGTAGTCTAGAGAAGCACATGAACATGAGCGAAGTGATTCCCACAGCCAAATAGGCACTGCGAATAGGTGACTTGGACAATTCCATTTACTGGTCTTATAAATGTTAGAGTAATCTTTACAATACCTGATGTTTCATTAAACTATGACATGTAAATACTGAAATGTAGAATATTACAATGGCCATGACCTGACTTTGAATCAGACTGTTCTCTGGCCTATTTTTTTCAGGCTACAGAAACCTTTAGTATGTCTTTCACTTTTAACAACAGTGACCACTTTATTTTAAAAATTCAGAATAGCAAATTACGTCAGTTAACTGAATGAATTGACAAGATGACCTGACTTTGCATCAGACTGTTCACTGGCTTTTTTTCAGGCTACAGAAACCTTTAGTATGTCTTTCACTTTTAACAACAGTGACCACTTTATTTTAAAAGGCAGAAAAGTAAATTACGCCAGTTAACTGAATGAATTGACAAGATGACCTGTTTTCGAATCAGACAGTTCACTGGCTTTTTCAGACTGTTCACTGGCTACTAGAAACCTTTAGTTTGTCTTTCACTTTTAACAACAATGACCACTTTATTTTAAAAATTCAGAATAGCAAATTACGTCAGTTAACTGAATGAATTGACAAGATGACCTGACTTTGAATCAGACTGTTCACTGGCTTTTTTCAGACTACAGAAACCTTTAGTATGTCTTTCACTTTTAACAACAATGACCAAGTTATTTTAAAAATTCAGAATAGCAAATTACGTCAGTTAACTGAATGAATTGACAAGATGACCTGACTTTGAATCAGACTGTTCACTGGCTTTTTTCAGACTACAGAAACCTTTAGTATGTCTTTCACTTTTAACAACAATGACCACTTTATTTTAAAAATTCAGAATAGCAAATTACGTCAGTTAACTGAATGAATTGACAAGATGACCTGACTTTGAATCAGACTGTTCACTGGCTTTTTTTCAGGCTACAGAAACCTTTAGTATGTCTTTCACTTTTAACAACAATGACCAAGTTATTTTAAAAATTCAGAATAGCAAATTACGTCAGTTAACTGAATGAATTGACAAGATGACCTGTCTTTGAATCAGACTGTTCACTGGCTTTTTTTTTAACAACTACAGAAACCTTTAGTATGTCTTTCACTTTTAACAACAATGACCACTTTATTTTAAAAATTCAGAATAGCAAATTACTTCAGTTAACTGAATGAATTGACAAGATGACCTGACTTTGAATCAGACTGTTCACTGGCCTTTTGTTCAGGCCACAGAAACCTTTGGTATGTCTTTCACTTTTGACAACAGTATACCAACATATTCAGAAACTTAAGAATAGCAAATTGGGTCAATTAACTGAATGAATTGACGAGATGACCTGACTTTGGATGAGACTATGTACTTGCCTTATTTTTAAAAAGTGATAAATATGTACCCAAATGTAGAATTGATGGGTGAACTTACTCAATGGACTGACCTGAACAGACTTTGGATGTCCACTTTTCAAGTTACAAAAACTTTTAAAATTACAATAATGACACATGTATAGCTGAATGTAGAATTTCAAAATGGGTAAATGTTTTCTTTCAATCGACAAGATGACCTGACTTTCACTGATACTATTCACAGGCCATTTCCTCAATTTACAGTAACCCATCAATTCATTTTAGACAAATATCAAACATAGATCCACATGT